GTTGAAGAAAGTCAGAATAAGAAGGGATATACGTATAGGCCCTGTTTTGGTTTCAACCTGAAATAATTTAAAAAATTGATTATGCTCAAAATGCAACCGTGGACGCCAGCTGGCAGTGAAGCTTGCTAATGTTTGCTAATTCCTGTTGTAAGTTTCTCTCTTTGGGAGAGTAAGATACCGTATTCTCTGAATTTGGTTATTGGCTAATTCTTACTGGCTTTTGCATAGCGAACAGAACTTATATCTAGTTAGGTCTCAGCGTTATATGCCATAATAAGTAATAATAATAATATAGGAAGACTAATGTCGAGTTTCCACTAGGCATTATAATGATAGAAAATGTATGTATTAAAAAATGCAATATGGAAACAGATATAGTGACTAGTTTTCCTATTTTGGATGCCCAACATTGTCATTAAAAATGTGTTCATTTAATGTCAAGTGGAAATTCATCATAAAAGAGATGAACTTTTGTTGCGTACCAAGTGTCAATTTTTTTTCTGGATTTTAACAAAAATATATGTGTATTTTCTTTAATTGTCAGAAGGGGGTTTAATAAAAAACTAGTATTAAGTTCATTTTTTTAAACACAAAATCTTTTGTTTAAAGCCAAATATTTGATGCGACTTACTGCTGTGCGAACTCTAATGAAGACTCCAATGCAATAGCATTCGGTATATCTTCACCCTCCACACCATCCTCATCATTGCGTCCATCAGTGTGCCCATCCTTGCGCATCGTCGAATTGCTCATTATGCAACCGACTTTGATGAGACGATCACCCTGTGTTTGCACGTTTCGATTATTTTNCGGCGTATATTTGATGGCCATTTCGTCTTGTGTGCACAGCACCTGTACTGTGTGGGGAAAAACGGAAAGAATTTTTTTTTTATTTTATTTTAGGAGTTTATAAGCATACGTTACCATCTAAACACTTGACACGCCGCATATAGACAGACTTCTCTCTTAGTTTCAGACTGCGAGGTCCCATCGATATAATATCCTCCGAGTGTAGTAGACATTCCGAATTGGTCAGATCGCGCTCAAAATAGAATGACACGCCTTGGCAATAGAATTTCGTTTCATGTGAGCACAATGATTGACACTTCAAAGAAAATTTTAAATTATACAGTGTAAAATTTAATTATAAATTGCGTTTTGTAAAATAAATTATTAGCCATAACTGCACACACACACACACACACACACATTAACTAATACTAACTAATAAAAATTTATACATTCGTTTACAAAAATAATTACTTAAAATTTTATATGTATGTACTTTCAATCGAAGCTTCGAGTTGATTGCATGCCAGTCGGATTATTGTAAAAAGTTCACTATTTTTTTTTATTTTTTGTACAATCTAAATCCCATGTTTTTGTCTTCAACATACTACCATCAATACCACAAACAACATAGACAGACAGACACACCTCCTTTTGGGTTAGACCCAAATATTTTGCTTCCGCATAAATGAAGCTACTGTTCGCATACAATTCGTATGAACAGCTATCGTTCTCGATCGGTCGCTCGTAACATTGATTTTCCATGTATTCTTCGTCATAGGGTGCAGCCCGGAATGCATCGGGTTGTATCATTTTATCTTTATCACTGAGTATACAACGTCCCAATGTGTTGGGTTGTGACTGATGTTGTTGATGTTGTTGCTGCTCTGCTTGTGGCACATGTTGACTGAATCTGATCGATTGATAAAAAAGAAAAATCGTAAATGTGGGATTAACTTGTTTAGCGACATTAGGATCTACATAAAATAAACAATATTACGTCCACATTTATGTACATACACGTGAAAGTCCATTAGGGTGCCCATCGAAGTTTTTTTTTCAAATTTCAAGACACTACACCCTAATTTCCTTCCATTTTATGAGAAATATTATAGCCTATTGTTATAGATTTCTTAAAAATCATTTAGAGGTACGATTTTGTAGATTTATCAGTTTTTGATTGACTATTTTTCATAAATTTTAAAGAGTTGTTGGTGTAAGTTTTCATAGGGCAAAAAAAAACGGAAGGCCTTGAATTTATACATATGTGTGTATGTACGGGACTTTTAGAATTTTTAGCAGTTTGGCTAAGGAATTCATCAATATTCATTCAAAATTTATATATGCAATCGTCTTTAGTAAAAAAAATGCGTTTTAAAGAAGTTTTAGGACAATGAGGGTGGCACCGCCCACTTACATATGTTTATGATATATATGCGTATCTCGAAAACTACCTGATACTACTAATCTCGACCAAATTAGGTATACACATTGTGTTTAGGCTCCTCATGCACCGTGTTGATTTTTGAAATCGGATAAAAACCACGGCTTCACTAACGTAACGGTAATTTCAAAAACTCAAAGCTAGCTATATTTTAGGGGGAGTTGGTTTTGTCCGATTTAAAAAATATTCAATATGGTGCTTATAGAGCCTAAGCAAAATGTGTATACCACATTTGGTCGAGAGGGGTTAAGTAGTTTTTGAGATATGCATATATCATATAAGTGGGCGGTGCCACTCCCATTTTCATAAAACTTCTTGAAAACCCACTTTTTTGCTAAAGAGCGATTGTATATAACAATTTTGAATAAATAAGTCTGAAAGTCCGGTAATTGAAAAGCAGAGTGACGAACAAAACCACGCTCCAAAAATTTGTCCATATACCCGACCTTATAGATCGCGCGGAAACCTGAAAGATGACGTGGAAGGATGATAAGGCTTTGGGTGCTTTTGAGATCATTGTTCTACGCAAAATCGGAATGGCGACTATACGAGCTTTGTAACTGCATGGATATAGTTAAGCGCATAAAAATATAATGATTTCGCTGGCCTGAGTATGTTGTGCACATTTAGATGAAGAGGCTTCAATCAAAAGAGCCTTCGATTCGGCACGCATGTACGGCGACCTACGAACAAATGAAAACTAAGTGCAGAAGAAACTGCCTGCACTCGGGATTTAGAACTGGCAAATCTCGCAAAGAAGAAATCTAATTGGCCAAATAAGAAGAGGAATCATGGAAAATATAAAATTGCCCGAAACAGGTCTCAACCCAAGAGCTACAAGTATTAGAAATTTTGTGTTCACTCGTTGCTATGCCTTTCGGAGCACGATCAGGTCGAGCGCACCTTCTCACGAGAGTCGGATACCTGTACGTTGGCGGAACTGTTTATTTCCGGTTATTGCCAACTGGCACGGATATATTTATGTACGTAAATATGTGCATGTGCCTGTATTCTTGGCCCCGAAGTTGGCGTTTCGGTTATCAGTAAAAACACTCTTTGATTGTGATAATGACAAATTGTTGAGATAATTTATATGTACTTATCAGCAAAATGGATATTATAAAACTTCAAATACGCATAATGTGGGCTAATTAGTGCTAATTTAGCTCATGGTCACTAAAGTAAATAATCACTTAATCACAAATTCTATTTCCTGTTTCTGAAATTGTTGAGGCACAGCATTTTTTTCAAAAGTCTGAAAGTGACTATGATTCCATTAGTGATAACAGGTATGTATATTTCGCACCAGTGTGTGTAAATATGTACATACATATATACATATAGTATGTTCAATAGCGAATACAAGAAGGCGGAAATAAGGTGAAATTTTAGCACATCGCATACGTTCTTCAGAAGTGAATTACTTATGTAAGTAAAAATTTGGCGTTAGTGAGAAAACGCAATAAACTACATATTTCTTAACTAAATTAGTCATTATAACGTATGTATTTATATATGTACGGTATCGCAAGTAGGTTTAGTATTAACACTAGAAAGACGGACAGGGGTCTCTATTAAATTTTAGGTTATTTTTAAAATGAATAAAGAAATTGTAATTTAAAATTCTGCTAAAATTTATTTAAAGGATATGTTGATTTTTCAGTTTTTCGGCGCTAAGCTAATGCTCAATGTTAATGAACTTATTGGCTTTAGACCTGGTAAATCTACCATAGACCAGATATTCGCTATAGACGTCGCAAGATGCGATGCCTGAATTCGGTATCTTCACGAAACTATTAAGGCTGTGTAAAATTACGTTGAGCAGTTTTACCAGATTAGCCAGGATTAGGAAGGACCGCTCCCAGCCGATCGATACCAAATGAGATTTATCGTACGATATCTTTCTTCGGATGCTGGCGGAGATAATACTTAACAGCTACAAAACTAATAAATTGCTCAGGTATAATCTTTATACGAGTTAACAATTACTGGCGTACTTATGCCGATGACATCGAGATACTAGGCCTCAAAAAGAGCTATACTTGTTCTGCTTATTCCAAGTAAGTAATCGAAGCGAAGCGAATGGCCTGGTGGTGAACAAGGAGAAGACGATGTAAAGTTATTTCAAATTAAATTAGTTTGAACAATTGTAAAAAATTTCATTTAAACTGAACATTATGCTGACTACACACGAGACAATTCTGCGGTCAAGCAACGCTTGCGGCAACACCGCAATAGCCAAAACAACATGACTTGGTTGCTTCAATGATTCTCACGTGTGCAGTCAGCATTAGAAAAGTTAAAGACACATGTTCTTCTTGAAGCTGAATGAAGTCTTATTAGGCAGGTTCCAAAAGATCCTAAGTTCAATTAGCATCTAACACATTACATATTTAGTTTTTGATTTTTGTTTGGGTTTTGGTAAATATGAAATATAATCTGTGAAGTTCAGAACAACAGAGTATTTAAGCAAAAATATTTCTGAGCAAACATAATGTTAGTGTTTGGCCAAGTTCTCCCCCGATTTGTGGCATGCGCCTTGATGTTGTCACATAAAGGTAAGGAACCCACAGTTTTACGCCGACTCTTTGATGACTAAAACTTTTTTTTCGGTATTGCTCGAACCCAGATTCTGCGGAATGACAGCGTGCTCTGCTATCCACTACACCACAGCGATCGCCAACCAACTAAACAAGTTACAGTGACTCAAACAAATGACCACATGTTTTTTAATATTCGTAATATTTTCCCAGCCAAATTTTTTAGTTATTTTTGTATAAAAATATCTTTTAAGCTTTAACCAAACCCGCGTAAATCGCAGTTTTAACTTTATACAAAATTTAAGAAAATTCAACAAATTTTCAACAAAATTTCATTTCTGAATTGCTAGACAATTTT